AGATTCATCTACCCCAAACTCTTGTGGAACCAGGAAATACAAAGCCCCCAAACCTGTCCAATTGTCAAACCAAAACAAAGAGGAGCCCATTTTTGGTTGCCACATAATCTGATGCTCTATCAAATCCCTGCACTCCAACATCTTCCTCCATATATGAGAGCCTCTCCTCCATGGAACTATCACAGAGTTAAGCTTTTTACAGTACTTTTGGCTCATAAAAGAGCTCCAAAGACTAGGCTTGGTTCTATAGTTCCACCACAGTTTACAAAAGAGTGCTTGTGCTACATCATGAAGAGACCTGAACCCAATCCCTCCTTCTTCCTTTGGCATGCATAGTGTAGTCTATGATGCCCAATGTCTGTTACTACCTGTGACTGAGCTACTCTAGAAAAATTGAGCAAAAATCTTGTGCAGTCGAGTGATCACATATTTTGGAGGATTGACAGCTGATAGCAAATGGATTGGCATACTCTGAAGCACATGAGCAATAAGGACTACCCTCCCACCTATGGATAATAATTTACCTTTCCATGATTGTAATCTGTCCATTACTTTTGTGAGCATAGGCTGATAGTATTCCATTTTTCTCCTTGAATAAAATATAGGACATCCCAGATATATGATAGGAAATTCTTGCCTCTTTATCCCTGTGATCCTCTCCACTTTATTTGCCACTTCTATATCTGTTAAGTGATGGAGATATACAGCAGATTTTGCCTTGTTCACCAACTGTCCAGAAGCTGATTCATAAAGTGCAAGTACCTCCATGATCAGTCTAAGTGATGTTGCATCTGATGAGGAGAAAATGATCATGTCATCTCCATAAGCAAGATAATTGATCTTTGGACTCCACTTAGGCAATCCATAGCCACAAAAGTATAAGTTCAAATGCAGTGCATTAAGGCCTCTTGAAAGTGCTTCTTCTACCAAAATAAACAATGTAGGAGACAAGGGATCTCCTTGCTTTACTCCCCTCGATGATTTGAAAAAGCCATGAGCTTGGCCATTTATTAGGACTGAATACCAGTTGTTAGACACTATACCAAACACCATGCTTATAAATCTTTCTGAAAATCCCATTTTTCTTAGAACCTTGGTCAGGAATAACCAGGATAGTCTGTCATAAGCCTTAGTCATGTCAAGCTTCATAATGACATTAGGTCCTGCCTTGGTTCTAAGCCTCATATCTGTGACTATCTCTTGGGTTAATAGAATATTTTCCACTATGCTCCTTCCTTTGACAAACCTGACTGTTCCTCAGATATTAGATTAGGTAAAAACCCCACCAGTCTCTCATGTATTACCCTTAATATCAAGATCAGAAAATGTGCATACTTCTTTCTTCTTTGGAATCAGAACAAGGTTGGTGTGTGTAACACGTTTTGGCAAGTCATGACCATTGAAAAAGGCTCTAACCATGTCAAATAAATCATCTCCAATAATCTCCCAACAGGACTGATAAAATTTGCCTGTAAAGCCATCAGGACCTCCTGCACTGTCTCCATTCAATCCAAACACAGCTGCCCTCACTTCTTCCATAGTTGGCTGCTTTATTAGTTCTTCATTCTTCCCCATGTCAATCAATGTAGGAACATTGTCTATGATATGAAAATAGGTAGGGATTGAGTTTTCTGTAAATTGCTCTTCAAAAACCTTGATTGCTTCTGCAGCTATTTCTTCCTCCTCTTCAATCCACACTCCTTGCCTGTTTTGAATTCTGTTTAACTGTAGCTTCTTCCTTCTGCCTCTTACGTGAGCATGGAAAAATTTGGTGTTCCTATCCCCATCCTTGAACCAAGCCATCCCTGTCTTCTGTTTCCAGTATTTTTCCTCCAAAGCTAAGAACTTGATCAAAACTGCTTGAACCTTTTGTAATCTTTGTCTGTTTAACTTTGTGGGATTTGCTTCAAACTCAGCTTCATGAATAAGAACAACTTCCTCCAAGCTTGCAACCTTCTGGAAAATATCTCCAAAAGTCTCCTTGCTCCACACTGATAAGGCCTTTTTCAATTTCTTCATTTTGTGATTGAAGATGATGAATGGATTGGCACTAAAATCAGCTTTCCAGTTCTCCTTCACCAGTTCTTTAAAAGAAGCATGTTCCACCCAAAAATTCAGGAATCTAAATGGCTTCTTCACAGGAGGAGTCTCTTTGTGACACTTGAGTTTTAATGGACTGTGATATGAACCTATTTTAGGTAAATGTTGTACCTCTATACCTGGGAAGGTCTGCTGAAACTCAGAGTTGGACACACACCTACCTAGTCTCTCAAAGATACAATCCTCTTCTAATCTACCATTCCACCATGTGTAAATACTACCCTTGAATCCCAGATCAGAAAGATTGCAGGTGTTAATACATTGCCTAAAGTCATCAATTTCATTAATATGTATTGGAAGACCTCCAAATTTTTCCTCCTCATCCCAAATGACATTGAAGTCACCTCCTACCAACCATGGTAAATTAATGTCACTTGCTATATCATACAATGAGTCCCATAATTCTATTCTTTCAACTGCATCACACTTGGCATATACCAATGTAAGAACAAATTCTACCTTAGATTCTGTATGATTAAGCTTTAAGGTTAACTGCTAAACCATATTGTACATCACTGTGACTTCAAAAACCTCATCAATGAATACCCAAATTTTGTTTGAAACATTGGACATAGCTTGGGAAAATCCAATTCTATTTGTGTACCTCTCCAAAGTCCTAGCTTGCTGCTTGGGTTCCATCAATCCTATGAACTGATAATGATTTCTCCTATGCATTTTGATTAGCCTTTCAAAGGCTTGTTGAGTGTTTACTGACATGATGTTCCAAATGAGAGCATCCATTACTGTTTGGTTAATGATAAAGTCCTCCTTGTTTGAACTCCACCTGTAGGGACAGTAGGGTTCTCTTTCTGCTGTTTCTTCTTGCCTCTTGCTGCAGATTTCACCTTTTCAAGAAGTCTAGGTGAAAGGTCTCCTTGCCTTGATATGTTATGAAAATTCTTAATAATGGACTCTTGGTCCATATTATGATCTGTTCTATACCTGGCTTCTTCTGCACCATCATTGTCTTGCTCACCACAATTATCCTTAACAATTTGCTGTTGTGGATTAAGCAACAAAGTCTGTTCCTCCCCTTTCTTCAATATCTTTAACTGAGTGTGCTCCACTGAATTTTTTGGTATGACTGCTGTCTGATTGTTCTGCTCCTCATTCCCAGACTTTGCCAAAATATGCTGCCTCTCTTCTACAATTTTATTCTGAATTGCACCTTCTTTTGTTCCTCCAGGATCTACTGCATCAGCTCCTATTCCTTCTGAATTCTGGATATCTTCCCCATGAGATCCAATTATGTCCTTTGCATTCTTGGTTATTGCTTGTTCCTTGGGTTTTGTCATTTACCTTTGTAGAGTTCTCATCAGTAATGTTTTCAGCTATGACAATGGCATCACCATTTACACTTTGATCCTCATTCTCCTTCTCTTCTTGAATTGGCTCTTCATCTACTTGAGAACCCAATGGCACCACATCTACATCTGAGTCTTCTTCTATTTGGTTAGACCATAGTTTGCCTCCACTCCATTGTACTCTATCAGACACCTTGGTAACAAAATTGTCATTTGTTTGGATTTCTGGAGTATTAGCCAATTCCCTCTCCTCTGATGTATCCTGTGAAGGCAAATCCTGGAAGGGAGTATTAGCTCCCACTGTAATATCACCTACAGAGTTCTTGAAAGCTCTTTGTACCCACTGAGCTGTAGATTCTTTGCCTGCATTTTCTTCTCTTCCATTCCCTTTTGTTTAAAAATGTGCTCTACTAGCTGTGTATCCTATAGCAAGTGAATTTACACTGAATTCAGGTGCTACAGGATTCAATTTTCCAGCTGTTTTACCAGCCTCTTGATGTTGATTTTGTATTGTTTCTGTGTATCCTCTTAGTGGACTTTTAGAACTTGGTTGGTCTGCTACCAATGCTAGTTGATTTTCAGCTTCTGCATCATCATCTACTACTTCCAATACAGAAAATTGATTTCCCACCTGAACCTGATTACCAACTCCTTGAAGAACTGGCACTAACTCCTTACCAGTTGTTGTTTGTACTACCTGTTGCTGTCCTGCTTTCCCTTCATTGTTTCCTCCATTTATTTGCTGATTATCACCCTGCTGAGCTGGGACAATCTCTTTTCCTGTATTTGCTTTTTCTGCACTTTGATTTCTCATATTCCTCACTCTATTATCTTTGACTTCTTTCCATTGTTCTTTGCTCTTTCCTGCCAAATTTCCTACTACCTTTCCACTAGATAGAATCATTAGAGGGCCCTGTTGAGTTGAAACATTAGCCTGCTCACCACTTTTCTCTGCTGCAATACTCTGTTGATCGTTAGCCTTGTTATTCATTACTTCTGGATGAATCTTCCAGCACTCTAACATATCATGCCCTTGTAATTTACACTCCTTGCAATACTTGGGCAAATAGTCATACTTGATGTTTACCCACTCCGCTCTAATCTCCCCCAATGGCTCATTCAGAATATCCATACGAACCTTCTTGGGAAGGTCTGCTAGAAGATCTACTAACACCTTCACACGTGCACAACTAGGTCGTGTTTTATTTACTGTTGCCAAGTCAAGGTGCAGTGGTTTGCCAACTGCTGAGGCTAAGGAAAATAAACACTCCTTGACAAAATACGTAGGCAACAAGTTAGGGAAAGAGATCCATGCCATTACCTTTGGTGTTTCTTCTCCGACTTTAAACTTATGATCATATATCAGGGTCCTCAACTGGTATTCATTACCAAACTTGTCCTTAACATAGTAAACTCCTTTTGAGGAAAAATCCACAAGTCCTGCCAAAGAGTCAATCGTATTAATACATGCCTATCACGAAGATAACCTATAGAGCATTCCCCTTTAATTCCACATTGTATAGGAACTATTCGACGTAGTTCATTGATCTCTGGCCAACCATACGAGAATTTGCACACTACAGCATATTGTAGACCTTCAATCACGTTCATTCTTTCAACCTCGGCTTCAGTAAATTTCACAACAGGTTGTCCGTTAATCACATTGGCTCGACGTAATGCAATTGGTTCAACAGAAGCAGAACGTTCCTGCATGGCATTGTTCATGGTATTAGGTTTAAGTATTTTTGAGTAATCTAAGGGCTGAGTATTGTTGTTTGTAGTCGTGGGAGGCTGGGCAATGGTGAGGGGAGGCTGACCAGCCGGGGAAGAGGGCTGGCCGCCGGCCAAATTGGCCATAGCAGCTGATCACGTAACTTTCTCTCTCTAAAAGCAAAATTCGCCAGAGCCTCTCTCTCTAGGGTTGCTGTTTTTTTTTTTGTAATTTCTATGTATTTAGCCAATTCAGCTCTTTTTATCTTAAAGAGATGTACATGTTCAGGAATGGAAGTATCAGGAACCATTTTAAATTCCTTAAACTCCCTAAATTTCTTTTCTCTTTCCCTTCGTTCAGCCCTTCGATCCCTTAACTCATTTTGCCTCGCCCTTGGGACATCCTGATGACTTCAGGCTCCGAGTCTGAATCATTATAGAAATAAGTCATGCGACGACGTACCCTTCTACGTTGTCTCCTTCCTTGACTTCGAGAACTCCCACTTGGAGTAATTTGAATTTGTCCATGTTCAGCCATATCTGAAATTGGACCAAGAAAATAATAAGAATGGCTACAACCACTCAATGTGAAAACATATGTCACAATAATGCGTAGAAGTATTTCAATATAAGGGATAAGGGCTAAACTAATTATCTATATTAAGTAGATAAAAAAATCACTTTTCCAGTTTCAACAAGTGAAAGCATATTATGAGAACAGAATGCTTATGAACCAGAAACATAAATTTCACTTGCCTAATTCAAAGTCAGAAAAGTCCCACACAGCAGGTAATTCAACTAGGTAATTCAATGGTCTGATATTCCTTATTTGTTTTGCTTTGGCTTATTACTAAATACATGAAGAGCAACAATTGAATTACCATTAAAAATACAGTACTAGATGGTAGAAAAATTAACGCCATTTTAGTACTCCTTTTTCAATTTTCTGAACCAAATTTGATATGAGATTTTGACAGGACTAGCCTTTTAAATAATACCTACCACTAGCCATTAATTCCTTTTAGTAGTATCAGGATAATAACGCCTTTAAACTGTAAACTTGAATGTAATATCAACATTGAAGTTGGTTGGAATTGGTAACACTTTTGCTTATCCACTCCATTCCATAATTTAATTTAAGAGTGTTTATTTCCTCGAAGTTATGGCGTCAGCAGAAGGAAATGAAGAAGCACTAAAAGCTAGCTAGACGTATCTAATTAAATTAGGCAGAATCATCAAGTTGCACATACATATACAGAGTTTCTGATGCATATTTACTCAACAGAATGAACGGTTCAATAGATTTCCATTCAGGCGAAAATTGTTCGACTCTCGTTTCAGGACATTCTCGTGCAGAGTTTCTGATTTACAGCCGTTTCGTCATACATTATTTATTTTTTTTTAAAAAATTGCTTTGGAACAAACAGCAACAAACAATGATTGGAGGCGAACTTTTTCAACGGAGTTTTCAATTATTCCATGTTTAAAGAAACAAGAAACAACCTGGCTCTGATGCCATTGTAGAATAAAAACGAGGGGCGAGAACAACGAATTGTGTACCTTATTGATGCAGCAGAAACCGTTGAACTCACCACCAAAAGAATTGCCTCAAGTAGAACTTTGAATCACCAGGAAACAAAGCTTAATTCACAAACTAAAAGCCTTCCTTTCTTGTATGTGATTTTTGTTGGGAGAAGAAAAGAGTTTTCGCACTCTCTTTGATAGTTCTTCTGTATAACATATATATACAAGAGGAATAGAGGAAACTACCGATAAAAAACCACCACTCCACGTTCTAACGTCTCTCAAAATAACGTGTGATGGTTTTAGGAGTAATAAAACCTACGTGTAACCTCCTTAAGTTTTATCTATTTTAAAACGGGTCGGGTCAGTCCACATGGGCGACCCACGACCCAAACCTTATATCCAACAATTTGTATAATCATATATAATCTGTGTATAATATATGCATATCAGTTAAAAAATAATAAATTCGACCGATTATTTATGTAAAATCCCTAAAACTCTAGTGGACAAACCAACCAGAGAGAGATAGAGAAAACTACCCTCTATAGCCCCTCAAAATTTTAATAGCCCATATTTTTTTTCATTGACACAAAATGGCCCTTCGGCCCAAACATATTGCATCTAGTAGCCCGAAATGTCTATTTAGTATAAATTTTGTATATTGACAGTCTCTTTTGTATATTTTTTGTATATTGACATTCTACTTTGTATATTTTTGTATATTGATAGTCTATTTTGTATATTTTTTGTATAGTGACTGTCTATTTTGTATATTTTTTATATAGTAACAGTCTATTTTGCATAGTGCAGTTTATTGTATATAAATTGTATAGTGGTAGACTATTTAGTATATTTTTGTATAGTGACAGTCTATTTTGTATATATTTTGTATAGTGACAGTCTATTTAGTATATTTTTTGTATAATGATATTCTATTTTTGTATATATTTTGTATAGTGACACTATATTGTATATAATTTGTATAGTGATAGTTTATTTTGTATAATTTTTATATAATGACAGTCTATTTTTTATATAATTTAACTTTATGCATAGTTATTACCTCAAATGAAATAATTCCGTTCTCAATTTCCTTTTTCCGTGATTTCTTTATCAATGCAAAATGAGAGAAGCAAATCCAGAATTTTTCTTGGATGCTGGAAACATATGTAATTGCGTTACTCCACAATCTAAAGAGTAGCTAAGAACAGTTAATTCATGAATTTCAAGGATCATTGTCAGTATAAACCAAAGGTATAAAATAAAAAATAAAATTACAGGGATTAGTATTAGGTATGGGATAATTATCCCCGAAGCACATTGATATCGATGTGTGCTCAAGCTTGCGACATATGGGCTTTATCGAAAATCAGACTTAGAGTTGCTGATTAAGAAGGTGCCGAAACAATGAAGTGCCAATCGAATTAAATCTGTTTTGTTGTTTCATTCTCTGCTTTTGGTGTCTTGGAATTGAAGCGGTGAACTTTTTTGTTTGAAACGTTTCGGAGAGACCATGACTGCTTCTCTCTCTTTCCTCTTCTTCCCTATAGGTTGCTGCTACTGATTTTTACTAGTCACCGCCGGAATTGACCACTGGCTGGCGACGGTATTACCCCCATCGACGGCGATTGTTCCACGCTATTGATACGCCATCCCTCTCCTCCTTCATTTCTATTTCTTTTGTTTTGATGTTGTTTTAACTGGTGAAAGTCCAGATCTTCTTGTATCTGGCCGGTTCTAGAATTTTCCAGCGAGGTATCTAAACGAATGGAATTCGGTCAGTGAGATTTCTGTTTTCCGGCTAGCTGTTGTTACTGTTTTTAGGCTAAGACTTGTATAAGTCAATTTGTGGCTACCGAATGATATATGTTTGGACCGATGGGCTATAAATGAATTTCTCTCAGAGATGCGCATTAGCCTTAGCCAAAGTCTTTCGGTAACGTTTGGTCGTGAAAAACTCAAAACCCGATTTTGCAATTGGGCTGTGAATCCAAAAATCGGATTTGCCTAGATTCAGAAACTGGGCTGTAAAATGGGGTTAGTTTCTGACTAGCTAGCTGTGGTTTAATTGGCACGGGTAATAATCGGGGATCTTCCAAGCCTCAGGTCGTACACAATCTGTTCGACGATTTGATTCAAAGAGACTTCAGATTTTCATATATCTTTCAATCGCTCTTTGTCCATTCGTATTTAATAAAAATCTGTCAGTGGGTTCACTTAACCACTTTCAGAGTCCTTATTTTCTGCCTTATTATCAATATGTGTTGCGTTTGAAGTTTGAGAAAGATGCTTATAAAACGTATCCTGTCATCTTCTATTTCTTCTTCATATGGTTTTTCATCGTTGTCCACCTCCTCGAATTTGTTAAAAAGCGGAAGCATTTTAAAGCAAGCAAGGACATTTTCAGATGCTGACATTATTGAGTATTCCAAGCTGACACACGACGCCAATCCATTGCATTTTGATGCTGAATGCGCCAAAAATGCTGGTTTTAGTGATCGCCTTGTTCCTGGGATGCTTGTCGCTTCCTTATTTCCCAGGATTATTGCTGCTCATTTTGTAAGTTCTACATTCCTCAGTCATGCCCCGTTGTTTCAATAGACTTCTCTTAAGAACTTTAAAAACTTCAGAATTCAATTTTTATATGACGACAGTGTAAAAGAGTTTTACACTATTTGGTTAGTTAAGTAAAAGTCCAAATACATGTAGCTGTATGTAGTCATAGTGGATTAGTTACCTGAAAATGATTGTTAAATAATATGTTACAACAATTAAACTACACGTTAGCCAGGATTTTAATAATCACAGAATGGTAAGATAAAAGTCAAGTATGAAGTTAAAGTGTTAGTTGTTCATGTCGAAAAGATGGTACACACAACCTACTTTAATCAGTTAACCTTCACCGATAGCTTAACAGATCCTTAAACATTTTTGTGTATATAGCTTAAAAGTAAATATGATGATATATTTCTTAAAGTAGCTACATTTGCAACTTTGTTGAATGGGGAAGGTACTATGTAGATCTGGTTTTAAATTGGAAAATTCTTCAGTGTTACTCTAATTATTGTTGTTTGGTAATTTCTCCAGCCAGGAGCTGTATATGTTTCACAAACCTTGCACTTCAAATTACCTGTTTATATTGGAGATGAGATCATTGCTGAGGTACAAGCATCAAGCATTAGACAAATGAAAAACAAGCATATGTAAGTACCTCTTGGCTGAAGATTTATAGTTCGATACCATATTTTGTGGCTCCTGATTGCATTGCTCTCTGTGGTCCAGCGCGAAATTGTCAACAAAATGTTTCAAATGTGATGGTCCTCTGGTAATTGATGGTGAGGCAACAGCAATTTTACCATCTCTGGTCATGGAACCAACTCACTTGGCAAGTACTTCCAGCTAATCGGAAAAACCTTTGCTTGTCAGCTAAAGCACCTGAAGTCGCACGAGCTTCTCTTAAAATCCTAGCAGCCTGCATAGTTGTCTGCTTATTATTAAGAAATACATAGGAAATATCCCCCAGTTAACTGCAATCCTGGATGGTATGTCATTCAGTTCAGAGCCTTTAGGTTAAGTCACCAGTTAGCATTGTTCTGAGCCTTTAGTTTAAGTTACCAGTTAGCATTGTTCTTGTTCACACATAAAAAAGTCATTTTTGATTGTGGTACATGGTGCCAAACGCATTCCTTGCCCTAACACTTGTCCTTTGAGGTTGAAAGCGATTGAGCTGTAAAATCTTACTCTCTATTCTGTTTTATTTCACCTTCCTTGCTAGTTTATTCTGAAAACATTAATATATTCCTATTAATGTAAGAAACTTTTCATTTACCTTCAATAACAAGCTATTATAACTATAGAAATGTCATGACATGTTTAAGACTACAAGTTTTAAGGTATGCCGTCTTTCTTTCTTTTTTGAACCTTCATGCCCAGTGAAACATCACTATATAAAATGACGTAAAGAGTATTGGATTTTGTTTTTTTCTGTGGGAAATTTTGGTAATGCCCTAAAGATACTTTATTGTGCAGGGTAAGAACACACTATTTTGAGATTTTTTTTCACCAAAAGAACAGGAAAAAAGATAGAAAATGCTATTTGAAGAAATGAAGTAGACAGGAAAGGAGATGAACACAAAATATGAACGAAAAATAATTTAATTGCATGGGGTTGCATAACCAGTATCAATCTGTCAATTGTTACATTAACCTGAGCCCTTAATGCAATGCACTAGCACAAAGCACCTTGGTAAGACTGTCAATACACGCAACAGAATTTTACAAAGTGGACTGGTCAAAGAATTGAATAAAGTAAAGCCAAAGAAGAAAACCATAGATAAACTCAAGAGGCGACAGTGAATTACTGAAAAGTTTATTCATCCTAAAGTGAAGAAGTTTACAGCTAGTCCTAGTAAACAATGTACTTTTTAATGAGCTTATGCCAGCTAGAAACTAAAAGCCAGCTGAAGTTCAAATGGTCTTATCTTTTAATCCTTCAAGCATTGTCAACACTAATCTCTGCCCTAACAGGGCACATTTAAGTAACTGAACATTGCCCAAAGTTCCTAACTACTACTGTATAATCATAGATTACATGGGAAGTCCTTGTGGAGGAGCAAATGCAGGTGCTTTAGGTGTGTGCTTGTCCACGACAATGGCTTGCGTAGTGAGTACAACTCCTGCAACTGAAGCTGCATTCTGCAAGGCACATCTTGTTACCATGGCTGGATCAATGACGCCAGCTTCTACTAAGTTCTCGTACTTGTCAGTCATTGCATTGTAACCCATCTTCCATTTGCTTGCCTTTATCTTCTCCACAACTACTTCCCCTTCAACCCCAGCATTTTGGGCTATCAAAGATGCCGGAGCTACTAATGCCTGCATGCACAAATTAAAAAAAATATATAAAAAAATCTGTATTGCTTTTTGTAAGAGATTCATCCAAATGCACACTGTTCAACAAGCATTCACTAGTTACAATCTCTTCCTTTCTCACATGGATTTTGTCCAATAAGAAATCACAATAAAGGACAAGAAAATGCTAAAAGAATAAATTTTAAAAAAAAAATTTAAAAAAAAAAAAAAAAAAAAAAAACAGTAAGCTACTGTATATGCTGGAAGTGCTCTGTACAGTTATGTCTAATTGGATGCTATCCTGTGTCGTCAGTGCTTTCCGATCCCTAAATCCAAATTGATACCACCCGAACTGATCATCTGTTACTATCAATGTATGTTGCCAATTAGATTGTGTCCTAGATGTATGCTCAGCCCCTAATGCATTGCAAGTTCTTGATCCTCCAGAGGATAATGAGTCGGTTGGCTGTTAGTATACCCTCTCAGTGTTAGCGATATAGCACAACTCCATTTTGCTACAGAAGGGTTGCTAGTGCCTACTAAGTCAAGCGACACTATTCAGCTGATTCTCTAGCTCAGATAACTAAAAAAAACCGAATTTCTCCAATCGAACAGATTATGACTTGCCGTTTTAGAATACAGTTATTAGCTTATCAGTCAATTATATTGGGAATGGTTACATTGCCATAAAAGATTTAACCAAGCTGCCATAATAATATAATAGGTACCCACAACTTCAACTTCAACACATACCCACAAAAATAGAATGAATAAAATGAAAGATCTCTCAATAGGAGTAAATTGAGAATAATTTACCTTCTGCACAATGTCAGCCCCCAACTTCTCATCTGGATCTTCAAGATTGTCCTTAATTGCATGGACATAAGTTGACAGATGAACCAAAGCAGCACCACCACCAGGTACGATTCCCTCTTCAATTGCAGCAAAAGTTGCATGTTTCGCATCCTCAATTCGAAGCTTGCGGTCCTCGAGCTCAGCTTCTGTTGCAGCTCCAACCTTTATGACAGCAACACCTCCAGACAACTTGGCAATTCTCTCAGCAAGTTTTTCCGAGTCAGATATTGAATCGGTCATGTCCAACTCCTTCTTAAGCTGAGAAATCCTAGCCTGTATCTCGTCCTTTGACGCATCATCAGCAAGAATGGTTGTTGAGTCCTTGGAGATAGTCACCTTTCTAGCAAAACCTAATGCTTCAACTGGGGTATTCTCAACAAGCATACCCAAATCAGTTGCCTGGTACTCCGCTCCTGATGTAATATACAAGCAGCACGTCAGAATATTCCTTGTAAGGTGACACATTTGAGACTAGAGTGCTTGATACAAGAATCCAATCTACTATCAAGAAAACTCAAAAGGCTAGTAGTACAATCAGATCACTTAAAACAGAATTGCACAAAAAGCTGAAAGCGNATCTTTTTGTGACAATTATCTAGTTATAGATTCTGCCTGAAAAAACACAAACAGCTTCGAAACTAGTTTACTCTAACAAATTTGTGGGGAGTGGTACAATTAAGTCGAGCAAGTTGGACTACCTGCTACAATGGCAATATCTTGGAGAAGAGCTTTCCTCCTTTGCCCAAAACCAGGTGCTCTGATGGCAGCAACGTTCAGTACACCTCGCAGCTTGTTCACAACAAGTGTAGCCAAAGCTTCTCCAGTTACGTCTCCAGCAATAATGAGCAGAGGGGCTCGTAATTCAGTTGACTTCTCCAGGAGGGCCATAATATCCTTGATTGCTGAAATCTCCTGATCTGTAACCAGCACTCTAGCATTCTCAAATTCAACAATTAATTTCTCCTGGTTGGTCATGAATTGTGGGGAGATATATCCCTTATCAATCTGCAAATGACGGAGCAAAGTGTTAGTTAGAGTTAGAATATTTGATAACCCTCATTCTCAACTCAGAACCCACGTCATCTAAACCTTGGATCTACCACTGATTACAGGTGAACTACAGTAGAGATATAGAAAAAACATTAGAGAACACATTCTCGTCTAAGTAGGTACACACCTCCATTCCCTCTTCAACATGAACAGTTGTTTCAAAGGAAGAGGATGACTCGATTGTTAGAACGCCATCGGGACCAACTTTGTCAATTGCATCAGCAATCATGGTTCCAATTTCATCATCATTTCCAGCCGATATAGAAGCAATAGCTGGTGGGAAGACAATTATTGGCAAAATGTTAATTGCCATCCATTATATAAGGTTTAAAGGACGGAGTTAACAACAAAAGCAGTAGAATAAATTACCTTTGATGTCATCACGACCTTTAACAGGCCTAGCCCTCCTATCTAGCATTTCAACCAAAACGTTTACAGTTTTGTCGATGCCCTTCTTCAAAGACACAGGATTTGCACCAGATGTAACACTTAATAAACCACGTTTAATGATTTCCCTGGCAAGAACTGATGCAGTTGTTGTCCCATCACCAGCAGAATCATTGGTTAGGCTTGCAACCTTCACCATAATAAATTTGGAAAAATCAGATACACAAATCCAGGAATACAATAAATATGACAATTGTTCTTAAACTGTCTGTCGATAGAACAATTAACCAAATTCAGGACAGATTTAACAGTGATCTTCAAATATCCCCAAATGACCAACCTCTCTGATAAGGGCGGCACCTGCATTTTCCATAGCATCAGGTAGCTCTATGGCTCGAGCAATTGTGACTCCATCATTAACCACCTTCGGGGTATCATAGTCATCTAAAACCACATTCCTCCCTATAGGAAAGTAAACAGATGATCATGAGTTAAAATGCACTAATTGCAGCACTGCTGGAGGAGACACATATAACATTGATACATCTGTTAAATGTCTTATGTTTAAAGACTTATCGTCCACATGTATGGTCATCAATTCTCTACTTCAGTTCACTCCCTCCCTTAAACGCAACACATAATAATCAACTAGATACGCTAAACGTACTACGAGACAGAATAAATCTATAGCTCTAGTTGTGGGGATGTAACAAAGAATCCAACAAATAATCAGGTCTGACTTATTATCTGCCTCAATCATATATAGCTCGCTATGAAATGAAAGAAATGGCTCATAGAGAGAAAGTAAAAGAACTTAAGTTATCATATTGGGTTTCAAACCTTAAGATATCAAAATATGAACTACACCTAAATCCCAAGTTAATTGGGCGATTATATGAAATTCATCTTAGTTTGACTACTTTAACTCTTGTCATCAACCTGCTGGCAAGACAAACCTTCTCCGACCTTAGAACCGGTTTACTTTGCAGATGTGGTTGGTTCAAACTTCAAAACTTCCAACCTCCATAAAAACAATACTACTAAAACAGAAAGCTTAAATTGATATGCAAGACAAAGATGAAGCAGAGGGAACATACCCTTAGGACCAAGAGTGAGACCAACAACATCAACGAGCTTATCAATACCAGCCTGAAGGGCACTTCTTGATTTCTGGTCATATGCGATTTCTTTAGCATTTGCCCTTACTACTAACCGACTCTTTGAAGCCTTGTTATTGTTGAATTTCTGTCCCTGCAATTGGTTCACCCTTCTGCCCTTCAAACCCACCTGCATTAACACCCCCAATAGACCAACAAAACAGATAAAAACCACACCTTTAAACAGATAAAAGCAGATCACAACTAAGAAGACAATAAGATCACAACTCTAAGCAAATAATTAAAGATCCCAACAAACAAGATAAAAGACCCAAGTAAGGAAACGAAGCTAAAAATGTACCTGTTTAGATGAAGAGGATATGATAGAGGCAGTGGAGATCGCATTTGCAGATGCCATTATCAGAAGAAAGAGTATAGTGAAGAGGGTTTAAGCAACCAGCTGCAATGAAAGTTTAGGTAGGTGGGTTTTGGAGGGAGCAGTAAAGGTTAGGTGAAGTATTCGAAAAAACCAATCACACAAACAATTTTTATCCCACGACCCGAGCATTATTAAGATAGAACCTTT